TCTGCAATCAAACGGTTGTTTAAGGATTCAAGCGAATCATTATCAGGATAAGGCAGAGTAGTGAAGTCTTTCAACGTGGAATTGTTACAAGGCAACATCTTTTCAATTTCGAACAAAGTTAGATTCTTCACTTGTTCTTCATTAAGAGATAAATCTGTAAGAAGATAATATAAATGTAAACAATTAATATATGAAATTAAAAGTAGATACAATTTAATAACAACCATAGTTTTTGATAATAGTTGTATAACTCTATGCTTAAGATATAGAATTAACATACATGGCGACTGTAAAGCAATTCGTTGAATGTACATAATCCCATCTGCTAAGTATTGCCATGTTTTTTTCCCAAACAAATTCAGGTCTAGATAGACTGTTTGAAATCAGCATGGTTGCAAATAAGAAGTGGAGATAAAAAAACTAGATGCTATTAAATTTGCCTCTTCAATGGCTTCAATATATTCCTTGTCATCGTCTAAAAGCCCAAGAGCATAACATGCATCTCTAAAAGTAAGAAATGTTTTTCCATTAACTGTACGAATGTCTTCAAATGATTTAGGACCTTCGACTTTATTCAGAAGAATTCATAAGTAATACCCTTCTCCTACAGTAGGAGAAACTGAATGAATCCGTCCAATTGAGAATCCTTTTTTCCTTCGATCCCAACGTCGTTCGTCCAATTTCCACACAAACTTTGTAGGGAATTCAACGTAAGTGAGTTCTCGTGCTTCTTGATAAATTTGATTACAATGCATCCAAGCTAAGAACATTGAGAACGCTACAGATGATCTGTTTAGGACATTATCAATATTATCTTCAACACCAAACACCACTTGTTGTTGTCCCAGAAGATGAAAAGGAAGTCTTGAAATAGAAGGAGTCCTGTAATGAACATCATATCCAAAAAATACACCATGAAGCTTCACATGCAGAAAGGTATCTACAATCGTAATACTGTTTTATCTTATCAACAACATTAACAGTGACCGCATCATTACTGTTTTCTACAGTTGCAACATTAGCTCTATCTGGACCCTTGTTGATATATTTAAACAGATACTTGATTAAAGATGCTTGATTGCACCACTCAACATTAATATGTGCTTGATATCTTCTCAACAGATGTTTATTATAGGGAACGACATTTCTGTTGTCTAGTTTAACACCTAATTTTTCAATAAAACGTCCATCAACTCGTCTTCGGTATACAGGATAACCATTAACATCAATTGAAGTGTGTTCAGAAAATTTCTTTGGGTATTTTTTGAACACTTTCTATCAATCATGCATGGACAATTAGTGTTTTCTTCACCACATGGTCCATGCATCATGAACTCTTTTACAAGTAAGTACGGTCTGGATCACTGTTTTTTGTCTGGGATCTCAGTTGAGACGATAGGATAAATCTGTTCAACAGTAGGTAGCTTGAAATCTCGGTGCATAAATAGACAGATGTGACTGTGAGGCAATCCACGCTTTTGAAATTCAATTCTACAAACAACTACAAAAAAGTTACAATTTAAATTAATAAAGATAAGACTAAAAGTATGAAGAAATATGTTGATACTGTTATCATAAATTGAACATACCTGCTTGAATTTTGCCAAAAAACTCATTCTCTTTCAATTCTCTAATAAGTGCATCAAGCTTGATCTTAAATAAACGACAAAGAATGTGAAGCTTGTCTTCTGGATTTAGGCCTGTGTCCTTAACAAATCTTCTAATTTCTGGCCATTTTGGATTGCAAGTCATGGTTAGGAACAAGTCAGGATATCCATACCATTTACAAAGAAACATTGCATCCAAATAATTTTGCATCATGTACCGAGCACCACCGGTGAAACAAGAAGGTAGTATAACACGTTGTCCAATGTTTGAAACATCCCACTCTCCTTGTTCTTGTACATTGCATAGATTATCATATGTCTCACACCTTAGGACTTTCTGCTGCTTACGTATGTAATGCAATCTCTCACTTTCAATCAGTGTATTCATCAACAATAAATTGCTGTAGAAGCCTCCTTGCATTGAGAAGTAATGAAAACATATTTCTTCTATCTTGAAGTTTGAAGGCGAAGAACTCCCTCATTGTTACTGTTGTTCTTTTACTTTTGCTTGAAGATGTTACCTCTCTATGGGGAATGTCAACTCTGTAACCATCTTCTCCGTATGGAAATAACAACGGATATTGAAGAGGAAGGTAAGAAGGATGTAATTCACTTATTTGTTGTAAATAACATGTCTGATGTTGTACAATGATATCTATTTTTTCAATTGTACCACCATCATCTCCAACAATTAAAGCTGCAACCTCTGAAGCAGTTGGAAGGTTATATGTTCTTCCATCCTTTTCTCTTCTTCCAATCAGCCGTAACTTTAGCTTGACATCCGGCTATCGTTCAAAACAATCTCTTGTAATTCTATAAGACTTCACCAACACATTTTTTGCATCTAGTATGTTCTTTAAGTATTGAATAATCTCAATATCAAGGGAATCAGAATTTGATGCAGAGGCTTCTTGTTTTTCACTAAGTAAATCATAACAAACATAAAATCAGAGTGACCATTAATATAACCATACTATGTAATTCAACTAAATTTATTAAGAGATATTACAATAAGGATGAACGTATATCTAAATGAACTGTGTCTATTTGAAACTTCATTTTTGGTATCATATATGTACAGTTGAGAGAATTTCAATTTTGTTCCATCTGGTGGTAGAAGACTACCCATCCTATGGTAGTTTTGACCATTAAGCCTGTATATGTATGGTGCATTTCCACTATTAATGGAAGAATCAATTTTGCCACCCATTGATGTAAATGAGAACATTGAATTATAACGACTAATGTTCTTCATAAAGTATTTGCTTTTTGAGTCCTCACAACGAAATAGATTTACGTAAGAAGTAGCCATCTCTTTCTCTTTTGGAAGCTGAACTTTGCTATAAAGTCAACAAAGGGAGTAACTTGTTTTCATCCCGCATTTTTTCCCTCGAAGAGCTTCATCTCTCCATAGTTTTGCATCACAACATCTTTCATCACCGTGATCCAAGTACTCTGTTTAATAAATTCGAATCTAATAACTAACTGTAAGTACAAACATTTGATTAATCAATAATTACCTTTAGATATTATTGCAATTATGTTTGTAGCTGTTACTGGATGGTCCGGTTCTTCATCTAATGTAATATCAATGATTTGTATATCAGCTACATTTACATTCCTCCTTTGTAATCTATGATGCCCTGCTGATAACCGAACCATAGAAGAAGCTTGCTCTATTGTCGATAAAGGCATGGATGAATTGGCGCTAGAACGTAACTAGTAGTGTTTGTCTACATGAACACTTGCTGTTTAAAATATACAAATTTAAGTAATGTAAGACATGTGTTAGTATTGAAAATGTATTTGAAGCATTACTTTAAAAATGAGGTGTACAAGAGATTACACATACCATTAGCACTATCAGATAATGGATTTGTGATAGTCACATCTGAAGAAGAATGTGCAAAGTTTGTATGTTGATGTTGTGGACATATGTTTGGATCCATATTCTCACTATGGTAGGGAATATTATTCCTCTGAGATGAAGATCTTAATTGCCTATCATAATTTGAGATATTATCTGTAAAAAGATAGAGTAAAGTATAATTGTCAAAAAGTGCCTTCAACAGAATTTCTGAACAGGTAATATTTGTCTCATTCAAAATCGAATTCAAAATGCTTTTCAATCATATACCTTCAACATTTGATGATGTAGACTTCAATGACTGTTTATTACTATTCACCGTTTTTCTAAATTTTCTCCTTTTTCTAGCATCCATGGAATTTCGTTTTTAAAAGATCTGCAAGAAAGTTAATCCTTCAAAAAGAAACTAGTGCATGAAGTCTGTACATAATAAAACATTGGAATGAACAATCGTGAGAAAATGGACTCAGTTAGTCAGTTGTGTTAAATAATGTTTTTTTTACTGTAGTAGAAAATGGAAGTTTTTTGTGATAACAATAATTTTATAAGAAGCAAATGATTACCCAGATGAGGCGGTTATAGAAACCGTAAATTAAAGGTGTAAATACAACGTAAATTAAGAAACTGCTTGTTAGTTTTTTTTTGCACGTTCGTTTTCAGAGTTATGTATCAGATTGTCGAGTCAGAGCTAATGAGAAGGCCCAAAAATGTTTAAGTGTTGTATGCAGAGAGTCACCCCACACACAGAGCTTCACTTACGGTTCAAATGGGTCTACTTAAGTGGCATTTGTCCTTTTACACGTGTATTTTCCTTTTTTCGTGGCTTAATTGATGTTTCAAATGAAGAAAACAACTCTGATATGTTCTCTGTCTAACAAAGTCTGGATCCATTGTATCCAGACTTAGAAGTCTGGACATACAAGTCTGGAGTATGTGTCTTTGTGAACGTGCATAATTGTCTGCCAAACTTACAAGGTAGCATGCCTTAGAAATCTAAGAATAAATCTGAACTCCTTCTCTCTAATGGAAATTCAAAATTCTCTTCATATAATTGATGTTTTAGATGAAGGAAACAACTCTGATATGTCTATGTATCACTAAATCTGGAGTCATTATTTCCAGACTTTTGCATCATGTACATGAAAGTCTGGACTTATGTTCCCTTGGTAAGATTCATAATTTTATGGCAGACTTAGAAGGTAGCTCGTCAAAAAAATTTGAGAACAAATCTAAACTCCTTTTCCCCAATTAAAATTCAAATTTCTCTTCAATATTTATGACGCTTACATGAATACGCGAATAAATCCCATTACACTTAAGCTCTGTATAAGGGTCAAACCTTTTTGTGACCTAGATATATTTTGTAAAAAAACATCATTTACAACTGTTTGAAAAACAAAATAAAAATAATCAGTCAAACGAATAAATATAAATAAAAAATATGCATTAATACGATACTAACAAAATAATACAATAGTACTCAATTATACAGCTCCAACGACTAACTAAAATAAGTTCCACCCATTTTAGGAAAACCATGAATCTAAAGTACTATCTGAAATATCTTCGAAGTAGTTATCTATTTTTAAAGTTGAGGGAGATCCACGTCCAATCTCAGGAATGAAGTTATGAGCTATACGGGTTATACCAAAATCATCAAATTGGTTCGAGTTTATAGACCCGAAATCATGATGCATGTTAAAAGATGCAACTTCATCACCAAGTTGTATTGAATCAAATGATTGGTAAGCCAAAGGTGGTGCATCCGCAAGTGGAAGCTTGAGCGACTTTCGGTTGGGATGATGGTCGGACATTGATGTAACATTCGTTGGTGGTGGGTTTTCCAAAACCGTTGGCATAACAAAATTTGTAACAGCACCAGGACAACATAGTTTAATGGCAGCATTATCATATACCCTGGCAGCCTCCTCCGACGTATCATATGTCCCCAACCACTACCGCTAGCGTGTAGCCGGATCCATAATCTCCGCTGCCTATCTATCCCAACGTCTTTTCCGTACTCCTCGAAACTTCCTATCGTTACCCTCTGGACTTTTCTTCTTCTACATAGCTTTCTGTTTCGATTCTACAGCAGATGAGTTGTTTCTGGGTGTTGTCATATTCCCATTGAAAGGCATCATTGTAGCTTCGCATGACAGATGTATGCTAATTTCATTAACATACTTCTTCACACGCCACCGTCCAAAATGGTCGTCATCTTCATCTCCTGACGAATCAGTTGCATAGGGATCAATCATTGATATCCTTATAAGTTTTGGGAATGGTAACTCTTCTTGGTCAGAAAACTTCTCTGGCATTGCCGAAACCTCCATTGTTATACGCCTTTTGTGCTCCGTTTGTTTGATCGGAGGTAACATGAAGCAATCCTCCATGAATATCTGCTTTGTGATGAAAAAGGAACATATAAGTTTAAGAGTCGAAAATGGGTGAGAGGTGAGGAGTAGGGAATATTTTATTTTATTAATTACCAGATTTGAAAAAAGTATAAATTTATTTAAAACTTTGGGAGGTCATTTCAACCATCAGTTTTAAAAATATCTTTATATATTTAATACTATATGCCCTTTACGGTTTCCAATAAATTTCTACACTACACCCGAGTCTCCTTTTGTTTGTGCCTATTTGCAGATTAAAATTAGATGAAACAATATTAGGGCTTAAAGGAAGAAGAAGATGAATGAATGGTCTCTTCAGAGAAGAAAATAAGTAGTGTTTTGTGAGGGATATTGCCTGGTTTGATGCAATCACTCTGTTTTTTATGATTATGAAAAGAAGGGTGATTGCATCGGACCAGGCTTCATTCCTTTCAAATCCTTTTGTAAAAATCAGATAGCTACCAAGGTATTACCGGAAGAGTTACTATGAGTAGATACAATGTTTAATGTGTATATGTCATTCAAATGTTTCACTGTGTGCAAATTTCCTTTTTAGTATACTTTTCAGTAGCTTTGATTTCACAGGATTTTACAAAGCGAAGGAAAGGGCTATATAATTTGTTAATATGACTTTAAATATATTCATCTTAATTTGGAACATATTTTACATATGACTTTGTGTTTATGCATAAAAATTTAAAAGAGTTATATACATGTTCAAAACCTCTCATTATTCAATTCTTCATAGGCTTTTGCGTAGAAATAGTGTTTTGGTGAATCTTGTTTGGACTTGCAATTAGTGATTGTATTATATACATGTTCAAATAGCATTCTTTACTTATGAGGAAAACCTAAACGTAATATAAATGATATATTTAAATTATGTTATAACATTATCACCTAAAATAACTTATGTCTTCACCATGTTATGCAAAGGATGCAGTTTCATGTCAAGTATAGAATTCAGACTTTTAACTATTAAGTGTAGAAGACCAGAAGTAATAGGTTCTTGAAAAACCATGTTGCATATTTCAAATTTCTACATTAACATATTTATAAATCCGGCAAACTATGAAAACCAATGTCATAACAGAGTTTTAAGTTGGAGAAAAGGTATTGGAGTTTTATTTTAAGGCTGACAAATTACTACACAATATAAATCTGCAAAATTTAAAGCCGTGGGTTTTTGTTGAAAGAAACATTTCAACAATCTGCCAAGCCTGATGAATGATAAACAATTCATGGAAGGTGAGTTTCCTACAGTTCTGTAATAACTATGTGAAATAAATTTGAGAAAACATTTACAATGTAAAAAATTACAGTTATATATTAATGGACATATGGACATCAATTAGTAACATTTGTATTGTATTTCAGACTAAGACATGCTAAAAGTAACATTTTAGAACTGGTTTCAGGGAACTCGGCACATTGATACTCAAGAATTACAATTTACAATTTAAATCCAAATCTGAAGTCTGTTTAGTACTGTTTTGGAGCCGTATTACATGGTTTAAACATTAATGCACATTGTACGTCTATCAAACCACGTATAAAAGTTATTATATAAGTCTGTAATCAAGCCAGTCAGAGTTAGCTTCCAACTCTTACATTTAACTTTGACGGGTTCATAAGTTTAATACAAGAACCGTACTGTTGAAATGACTCTGAAGTAAACCATCTATTTTAACTCTGGAAAAGGATATCAGACCTATTTTTGTGAAATAAGTATTTATTTAGAAGTTTTTGTGATCACCGAAATACGTGACGGCATAGCACGTGCAGAACCTCTGTGAAGGTCTGTATGAAGAATGGAGTCACGCTTGACAGACACAAGGGTGAAAAAAGTTCCCAGAGTTTAAGCCCAAGGCGGTCCATAGTTACAAGGCTGAAGTACACTTTCAGAGTCAGAGGCGGAACCTCAAGGTAGGACATGAAGAGACAGAGCTCTTTGTCAACTCTTAAGTGTAGAGCCTTTGTGTAGCTCTGTATGAAGCACAGAGGTAGGGTTCCAGTTACGGCGAAGCATGTGCAAAACCTCTGTCATGATCTGTATGAAGAAAGGGAATCTCAACGTAGAACATGAACAAACAGAGCTCTTTCTCAACACTTAAGTGCAGAGCCTCTGTGTAGCTTTGTATGAAGCGCGAAGGCAGGGTTAGAGTGACAGCATAGCATGTGCAGAACCTCTGTGAAGGTCTGTATGAATAACGAAGGGAGGCTTGACAGACACAAGGGTGAAGAAGTTTTCCATAGTTAAGACTCAGATGGTCCAGAGTTGTAAGTCTGTAGTCCACTTTCAGAGTATTTGGCAGAGCCTGAACGTAGAAGATGAAGAGACAGATCAGTTTCTCAACACTTATGTACAGAGCCTCTGTGTAGCTCTGTATGAAACACGGGGGAAGGGTTAGAGTGATCGCATAGCACGTGCAGAACCTCTGTGAAGGTCTGTATGAAGAAGGGGAACATCAACGTAGGACATGAAGAGACAACGCTCTTTCTCACCACTTAGTGCAGAGCCTCTGTACTGCTCTGTATAAAGCATAGTGGCAGAGTTAGATTGACGGCGTAGCACGTGCAGGCCCTCTGTGAAAGTATGTATGAAGAACGGAGACAGGCTTGACAGCCTCAAGGGTGAACAAATTTCCCAGAGTTTAAACCGGATACGGTGCAGAGTTACAAATCTGAAATACACTTACAGAGTAAGAGGTGACGCCTGAAGGTAGGACATGAAGAGACATAGCTTTTTCTCAACACTTAAGTGCAAAGCCTCTGTGTAGCTCTGTATAAAGCACGGAGGCAGGGTTAGAGTGACGGTGTAGCACGTGCAGGACCTCTGTCAAAGACTGTATGAAGAAAAGGAGCCTCAACGTACAACATGAAGAGACAAATCTCTTTCTCAACACTTAAGTGCAGAGCCTCTGTGGAGCTCTGTATGAACCACGGAGCCTGGCTCAGATTTACCGCGTAGCACGTGTAGAACCTCTGTGAAGGTCTGTATGAAGAACGGAGTGAGGCTTGACAGACACATGGGTGAAGAAATTTCCTAGAGTTAAGACTCGAACCGTACAGAGTTACAATTCTGAAGTCCACTTTCAGAGTAAGCGACGGGTCTTCAACGTAGGGCATGAAGAGAGAGAGATAGCTCTTTCTCAACACTTATGTGCAGAGCCTCTGTCTAGCTCTGTCTGAACCACGGAGGCTGGGTTAGAGTGTTGTCGTAGCACGAGCAGAACCTCTGTTAAGGTCTGTATAAAGAACGAAGTCAGGCTTGATAGACACAAGGGTGAATAAATTTTCCAGAATTAAGACTCAAATGGTCCAGAGTTACAAGTTTGAAGTTCACTTTCAGAGTAAGAGGCGGAGCCTCAACGCAAGGCATGAAGAGACATAGCTCTTTCTCAACACTTAAGTGAAGAGCCTCTGTATGAAGCACGAAGCCATGGTTAGAGTGACACCATAGCACGTGCATTACCTCTGTTAAGGTCTGTATGAAGAAGGGGAGCCTCAACATAGCACATCAAGAGACATAGCTCTTTCTCAACACTTAAGTGCAGAGCCTCTGTGTTGCTCATGCAAATAAGTTTAATATTAAATCCAAAACAAAAAATAATGAAAGCGTATAGCATACTACATTCACCAATTAACAGATCATTGTATAAACCAAAATACAATCACCAAAACAATACCAAATACGAGAGACAATGTAGTTGTACACCCGACTCACGAATATTACTTCTGAAGTGGAGGGATTTTTTAACGTTTTCGTAGTCAATCCTTTTTCTTAAATTAGGAAAAAAGGAAGAAAAACATAAGAAGTTCTCGATACTCCAACAGAAGTTAAAAAGAAAACAGCTTCTTACTTGAATTAAAAATGTAACACCCCCAAACCATACATTGCATGTAACACATATCTCATACAAAAGAAATACATGATATCATTCCATTCAGGTCCCTTAATACAAGAATCTATTATGACCAAATACAAGGTCTAAAAATTCAAATACATTACTTGTACTAAATAATCAAAACTGTACATCAAAACAGATCTTCAAGCAAAAACGCATATAGGAAAATATTAAATTTTCCCCTTTTCCCTTAMTGTCCATACCTCCTGCAACACATAGTTAAAATCACAAAATGAGGGTTAGACCGAAAGGTCTAGTGAGATACCCTACTTATGTTATTGCAGGGTGAAAAATCACCAAAATATTTATGGAAAAACATCCTTTCATATATAACAATTATATGAACAAATAAGAAACACAATACCAGACTTCTTCCATATTTCAAGCAAAGCTTTCAATTATACGAATCCCATACCTCTGAACCAATCAGGTTTCATATAATGCCACTTTTAAACCTTTTTATATCAAAATAAGGTTTACAAAGTTTCAGGCCAAACCTGATGTTTTCTCCTCAATAACATCCAGACTATGAATTCTAATAAGAACCTTGATCCTAAATCTTTAAATCACAAAGAAATAAAGATTCCAGAACACGGTAATTTTAAAGGATATAATAGAAAGAGTTATATCATACAACAAACATACAAATGCCACCATTATATCCAAAGGTACACCTCTCCTTGATATGCCACCCTTATCCCATGGTACACCTCTCCTTGATATGCCACCCTTATCCCATAGTACACCTCTCCTTGATATGCCACCCTTATTTCCTCATCAAAATATTTCACAAAATAATTTCAAATAGACCGTAACCATTGAAATTATTATCATTACAAAAATCATTTCTTTCAAAACTTCCTTTTTATGATAAAATAATATTTCTTATCGAAAACACAAGGCATCACTTTAAATCCGGTCAACTTGATTTAGCCGGACTTCAACTCCGGTCAACAATCCGGACAACACACATCATAAGCTTTGTTCGATTTAACACTTATAATATATTTCAACAACTTTGTCCGGATAACAAGTCCGGACAATACCTCGTTCACTACTTGGCCGATTTAAAATAATTCGGCCACCATT